TAGAATTAAGGCAGTTCTGAAGGCGAAAGGGGGTCAAACACCATATTAGTATGGTGTTCCTAATAATCCTTTAGGTGAGTGTATATTATATACATTATCTTTTAAATATGAAGGAACACACTGTATTCAAAATAAATGAAAAGCAGAATAGTGTGTTACTGCATGAATTTGTACATAGTATCTGCTTTAATTGTGATACTTAGATCAGATCTATAGTGTTAAACAATAAGCCAGCAATTTATCTCAGCATCTCCCATCCTGTAACAAAATACCAAACGTTCCTTCTATGACTCTGATGTCCCCCTGGCCAAAGGAACTGGCTGCCTGGCTCCATCATGTACAGGGAGGGAGGTGCAGCTGAAGAGGCTCATGCATGGTCCTGTGTGCAAGGAGGCTCAGCGGGGCTCCCACTCACCATAGAGCAGGCAGAGGAGGGCCGGGCCCAGCAGCAGCCGCAGTGCAGGCATGCTCGTGGTGGATGGGCGTGTCTGGCTGCTCAGAGTGGGTCCTCCAATGCTGACGCGGCAGGAGAGGAAGGGATATATGTGTACACAGGCCACCCCAAGGTGCAGCACAGTCTCACCAACAAATCAAGTGCAAAAAAAAAAAACACGACCTTGCCTTCCTGTACACACAAGATGCCTCCGTTCTTAGCCACTTGCAGTCCAAGTTAGTTACTCTTCTTGCGCCCCTTTGATCTGTGCTCTGAACTATATTCAGTCTGTAATAGAGATCAGCAAATGCTGGCAGGTGCTGAGCCACAACCCTGATAATGGCACTTGCAAAATGTATGCAGCTCTAGCATCACGTTGAATTCTATATATGACTTCATACATTGATTTCAGATCTGATCGATTTGATTATAATCCTGTGAATCCTTAAACACATTAAGCTCTTGTCCTTGGAGTTGTCTTCTGAGGTTATGCTCATTTATTTATAAACTTTTGAGTGTCTGTTCATGCTTTTAACAAGTACTGGCTGAGTGCCTTTCAAATCTCCTCACGAAGCATCAGCCAACATTATTCCAGGAAGACAGTTATGGTTCACAGAATGCAGCAAAATTCCAATAAATGCAAGACTCGATATAACTTGCAAAGGCTGTGCAGATGGAAGACACCACATCCAATCTCAATTCTAAATAACTGTGCAGGAGGAGCCCTGAGCTAATGACTAGCAAGCAGAACTTCCAAACCACAACTTTATATTACAGGAAGCACACCCACTTTCTTGTCATCTGTGTTTTGGCTTTAGTCAGTCATAGTGCAGTCAGAACAATATTTCAGCACTTTGTTAAATTTGTTATTGCTTTTGTTTTCTGGAATATATCAATCTGAAAACTACAGTAATAAAGCCATACACCGATACAATCTTCAGATGCCTGTTTGTTAAATTTAAGTGAACAAATTCTAATCTGTTCACATAGATTACGGCACACTTATCAATACTGCATACATAAGGTCACAGTGACTGACAGGTGGCGAATACAAGTATTGCAGTGTTTACAATTTGTACACACGCATTCTCTGTTGATATTCAACTGCAACGTTATTCTACTTATTCTGTCATGAAAAATAACTTTAGAAGTGCACATAAAAATGCAAAAGGACTGTAGCTAGTTACTCAAAAAGCATTAATTACAATTTACAAGTCACTGGAAAAAAAGTATTTCAATAATAATAATAATAATATTAATGGACAATGCACTTGCCACCAGGACGCACTGTATCTGGTTTATGACGCATACCAACGGCACATATGCTTATTGCAATTCGTTATAATATTGGCAATTGAAAGTGTTTATTTCTATTTCTATTTTAATTTAGATTTTTATATACTTCCTGATAACACATACCATTTATATAAGATGAGCGACGCTTTGAATGAATGATTTCTCCAGCACACTGACTACGATAAAAAAAAAAAAGCAATACCATAGCATCCCAATATTTTTTTCCAGAGCGACAAATCAACCAGCTGTTAATTTCCGTCCCTTTCTACTAGCAATACATCTCAAAAATGTCTGTTCTATCCCTTGTCGAAATGATCATTTCCTTTACCCTTCCGATGTCTCTCTATGTTCGTCCTTTTCTTTAATCCCGTCTTCTGGAAATCGGAATACTGACGAGAACTGACTCCCAATGAGAGTCAACGTCTGTCGCAGCGTAATATGAAGTAATCAACGGTAAACCACGCATAAAATTCTTTAATTGACTGAAACGTAGAAATTAAGCACAAGAAGACCTAAGCCAAAAAGAGACGTCAAAAAGAGACGACCACACCAGTGATCGCAGAAAATATTCGTGCAGTTTCATTGTTTTCACGAAGGGTGTGATCTGTCGTGCTTTTGCGAGAGTATGAAGGAAAGAGATTAGGGGTGGGAGGAGGGACTGATGCATTGCAGTAGTGGGGTGGATGGGGAAAGGGAGGGAGGGAGAGCAGAAGACCGAAAAACAGTGGTTTGTGTAGTTATGGTAACGTCTATGAAACCTACGTACTGTGGCGTTATTAAGATATAATATACTACAATCATGAAATGTTGGTTTAAGTTTGTCCATTGCCTTTAAAATTGTATGCTATTCCTTTCTATGGTGTTTCTCACAAAAATGTATTGTTAGGTTACAGGAGCCTTTGTGTGTTTTGGGCATCTTTAAGAATGTGAACTTTTGCAATGCTGTTCCATTTTGCTGTTGTTCTTAACCAACATTTGCTAGTAAAACATCCATTTAAACAAGATGCTATCCTTCCTGACATTTCAGCAAGAACCCAGCAAAATGGAATATTATTCAGTTTGAAATGAAGAAGAACCTTAAAATGCTCACAACTGAGGATAGAAATTCTGTAGTAGCATATTATCATTTCCAATTACAAATCAATAAATATCTATAACTTTTGGATTAAAGACAAGGAATTACCATGTTAAGCCATGCTGTGCGTACCAGACAGTGTAAGAACAAGTTGGAGGTTGACACTTGTGTTTCTGTTTCTATTTAAATGCTTACCATGAACCCCCCTCCCGTCTCCCCAAAAAAAAACATTCCCCAGAACATAATGGATTAAAAACTGAGCATTACGTGTTTATTGTACTGTAGTTGGATGATGATTGTAAAAGTAACAACACTGAAGGGCACATGAATAAAACTTAGAGGAATTAAAATTTTAATTTACATACTGAAAGTGAATACAGAGTCGTGAAGTGTTTATAATGGAGGTCTGTATCATGAAGCAAAATTTCTTGCTTAGCTGGATAACCAAGGGACCCCAGTTTAATTAAATGAACTTTGTCTTCATTCACTTATATTTAGCCCATGATGCAGGCCCCAGAGCTAGGGAAATATCCTGTTTTCATTAGCATGGTATTCAATTTGTGTACTGTGTACATTTTAAAATTTGTTTGCACCACGTGATCTTGCTCGCACTGTGTGTACAGTACTGTCTATGAAGTTTGTCTCATTTGCACTATATGTACACTCACCTAAAGGATTATTAGGAACACCATACTAATACGGTGTTTGACCCCCTTTCGCCTTCAGAACTACCTTAATTCTACGTGGCATTGATTCAACAAGGCGCTGAAAGCATTCTTTAGAAATGTTGGCCCATATTCATAGGATAGCATCTTGCAGTTGATGGAGATTTGTGGGATGCACATCCAGGGCACGAAGCTCCCGTTCCACCACATCCCAAAGATGCTCTATTGGGTT